CCTCCCCACTTGCTTGTCTTACTAATGACCCAACCTTTAGCGCTCCCGCGGGAGTCAGATAACGGTGTCAGCTTGACTATGGGTCTGACGAAGCATCTCGACGACGGCCAAACAAACGCTGTCCACTGCACACTCTCCTGCCCGCCCTGCTCGCCCTGCCCGCCCTGCCCGCCCTGCCCGGTCTGATAGTATGGGGCCGCCGCTGGTCATTCCCCCCGCGAACCCTGTTCGCCTCGCCTCGCCCCGCCTTGCGTGCCACGGGGTCCGAGGGGAGGAAAGTGAGGGATGAAATATGAATATAAAAACTGGAGGTGCAGCGTGTAAAGTGTGGACGATCGCATCGCATCGCGGTTGTAGTAACAGCCCTACCGGCCGGGGGCACGCGGCCCGAGCCACACTTCCACGCGCGTGTCTGGGAATCGATATTTGCTGACCTTTAGCGTTGGTCAGGCCCACGCCACGCGACGCCACGCCCTCGTCCAGGAGGGGTGGTTGGTCCTGGCGCTCACCTGCGTCACGAGGCGGGATGAAGCGGGGGGTGCGACGGGGGGCATCGTTAATAATTTGGGCGGCTGGCGGCAATGCCCACTCGGGCTAGGGCAATTTTCTGTCCAAATTTGGGATGGGCTTTCCTGGGGGGGGGGGGGAGACGAAGTAGTTAACGAGTTTTGAAGAGAAATACGGAAATGTCGCGTTATTTCGCCGGCGTTATGAGTGTGGTGTGTGTGTGTGTGGGCGAGTGCGGGATGTCATTGTCGCGCCTCAGTACAGTGCGCGGGCTGGCGAGGCAGGCGAGGAGCAGGGAAGGCACTCGTGGTGATGCGTCACTTCGTCAACTCAGGTGTCACGCTGGGCGCCGCCGGTGTGGTGGCGGGGCCGGCTGGCCGACCGAGTGTGTGTGGGAGTGCAGATGAGAGAGTAGCAGTTCGTATTGGTGTGCATGCATGCACGACAGAGTGTATGAGCCGGCAGTCGGGTCCAAGGTCACCTTGGGGCTCGACTGACGGTCAGTCTCATGCCCATCACCCATCACACGCGGGTCGGCCTTATCGACTTCAACTCCAATGACGGGGAGCAGCATAACACGGCCCTCAGAATCTCACCTCCTCAGTAACACACTTCCGTCGAGGGGGTGGTAGACAAATCGCGCGCGTACCTGATCCACGTTAGTGACGTGCAATGGCTCCAAAAATCTCTAATGTTGTCTAATTTTGCGTGCAAATAACGAGAGTATTACGGCCCTATATTGGTCCTGTGTGGACCAAAATAATTCGTCGTTGACTTTCCTTTACACCCGAGTGCGACTGTCTTGTTAGAGCAGTGGGTGCTCGCGCGAGCCGGCCGCCCGGCCCTCACTATTGCGTATCAAGATCAGGGCGACGGGGTGAGGTTGGGGGCGCGGAGGAGGCCGGGTAGCGCCCTACCGGCGCCACTGCGCGGGAGGCCCGCGGTCGATACGGGGCCGCCCGCCCTGCACCCCCAACCCCCACCCCGAGCCCTGCC